AATTTATGAAACCAGTAAAGTGACTCCATGTGAGTATGTAAAGTAGGCAGAGCCCCAAATCCTTTTCTACTTTCATGCAGTATAATTAACCCCTGAAATTTTATAAATTCAAGAAATATACTGTCATGATTTCATATATATGTTGTGAAAGTTTTACCATAACCAAGTCAACTGGTACATCCATAGCCTAGCATAGCCACTCTTTTTTTTATATACACGAAGAAAACTCTTAATGTGCTCTTAGCAAATTTGAAATAAACAATACGTCATTGTTATCCATAGGTGCATAGGTCTAATATTTTCTTAGATATCCGTAATGTTCTCATCTTACAGGCAAACATTTACACTCTTTAAGCAACACCTCTCGTGTCTCCATACTAGAAGAGGGCACCAGGTATCATTAAAGGTGGTTGGGAGCCACCATGTGGTTGCTGGGAATTGAACTCAGGACCTCTGGAAGAACAGTAAGTGTTCTTAATCTCTGAGCCATCTCTCCAGCCCTTCATCTCTGTTATCTATCCCATCCCTGTGTTATGCCCGATTCGCAAGACCCCCCAAAGTCTACCAGGAGTCAATTCCGTTGCAAAACACATGATGTTCTTTATTCACAGCTTGAGCTGGGGCTCTCACAGACACCAAGGCATTGGTATCCAGCAGAGAGCCGCAAGCTCTGTATTGTGGGTGATTTATAGGTCCCACTGCACCCAAAGCAGGGGGATTCCAGTCTGGCAAGCTTCTAGTGGTTAAAACAGAAAAGGAGAGGCTACATTTCAAAAACAGTTCTGACTTTCTTTATTCTCTGTCTTGTCGAGGGTGGGAAACAAATGGCCATGAGTGGTCTGTGATATTTTCAGAAGCAAAGTTAGAGTTGAATGAGTTGGGGCCATCCTGGCCAGTTTCCTGGCAACAATATCTCTAATGAGCAGCAAGGTCCCTTCTTCCCTGCAGTTGGCTGGATATGCCTAAAAGCAGAAAGGTCAACTGGCCTGATATGTTTTAAACTTTCTAGCTCAGTAACCCAAGAAACCAATTTTTAATTCTCTGGCCTCTCACCTGAGCTGCTGGAAAGCACCACTGCTCTAGTGTATTTTGTCCTGCAGCAACAAACACAAAATACTCAGAATTGTGAGGAATGGGGATTTGCTTTTTTGTAGTTCATCAGATGAGAAGAAACAATATTTAAGAGCCAGATCTGGACAAGCAGCTACATCATTCCATGGTAGAAGGTGGGTGGCCAAGACCATCTGGGACAGAGGGGAAGAAAGGGACCAAATTATTTTTTTTAATCAGGAACCTACTCCTGCAATAATACTAACTGACTCCTGAGGGAAGAACCCTCATGAGCGGGTCACTTTGTCGAGGTCTCTCTCTTTGTGTTGACACTGGGAATTGGGCTTTCAACATATGAACATATGAGGAGCTTTTCAACTATAGAATTCTACTCCATCCCTACATTCAAATTGTACCCATTTTGTTCTGATGACACCAAAGGTCTTAATTCGTTTGCAGAAAAACGCAAAAGTAAAGAAAAAAAAATCATGTGAATCAGATGTGAATGAGACTCAAGGCACAACCCATTCTAAAACAACTCCATGCTGCCTTCCTGGGAAACTAAACAGGCTGCTTTCAAAGCTCAGTGGTGGAGTGAGCATGGGATAGACACTCCCATTCTGAAAGGGAGACAAAGACAAGAAGAAAGGGGTCACTGGTCACCCAGTTAGTACTCAGCCTATGAAGCAATTGACCTTCACTTTATGTCCTGCTCCTCGGGAACACTGAGGCCAGAGTCTGGGCCACTGAGGGCCTCAGGCAACCTTGCCTCAATGACTCAACTATGTCTGTATCCCCTAGAAATACAGCCATCCATGGCCATCTATGTATAAAGATGATCATTGCAGCATTTCTAGTGGTGTCCTAAGATACTTGCCGTTGCCTTCCCTTTGCAAGACAAATCACTGAGTCTAACTCATGGCCATAAAGGAAAAGGAGAGCAGACTGTTGGGATCTTTCTTAGAGACTGTGAATGACAGCAGCAACACTCTAAATAGCCTATGAAGAAAACAGAACAGAGCTAAATAGTTCTCAGGAAGTGGTTGGATGAACAGAGTACAGCACATACCTAGAGGGTAATAAATCAAAGCAGTGTGGATGGATTCCAGGAGTTATGTAAAAGAAAAAAATATATACATTTGTTTCAATGATGCTATAGATGGGTCAAAACTAACCAAAATGACAGTGATCAAAAGGCCTGCCCTTGGGACATTGACAGAAAATCAGTCTGAAGAGCTGGGGGTGTGGTAAATGTTGACAGGGCTGCAGGCCATGGGAGAACAGGCTTCTGTAAAGATTCTTTAAACTGTACAGTTAAGGTATGTGAAATCCACTGTTTATAGTGTGTCAATAAAATAGAAAAGCAAGAAATAACAAAAATTGATATTATTCCTCCAAACAAACAAACAACAGCAGCAAAAAAATGACAGATATATATATATTTTCTATCAGTGTCCTGGTACAAAAAAATAATAATAAAGATTGCTCTTTGAGAAGGTAAAAACTGTCCATCAGTAAGTTATCAGCAAGGAACACACAGTGAGGGAAATGGGGAGCTATAGGTAAATACATAAATTAAAAGATAAAATAAGAATGACAACAATGCCCATAGTGAGGGGAACAAGGACTATTTCTAACAGGAACTCAATGACTGGCTCTTTGGCCTCCCCACCCCCCAAGGGAGGAGCAGTCCTATTAGGCCACAGAGGAGAGCTTTGCAGCCAGTCCTGAAGATACCTGATAAATCAGGATCGGATGAATGGGGAGGAGGTTCCCCCTATCAGTGGACTTGGCAAGGGGCACGGTGGAGATGAGGGAGGGAGGGAGGAACTGGGAGGGAATGAGGGATCGGGACATGGCTGGGATACAGAGTTAATAAAATGTAACTGATAAGAAAAAAATAAAATTAAAAAAAAAAAAAGAATGACAACAATGTCCGCTGATGCTTAAACAATGCTCTATGAGCTCAGGAGACCAGTCAGCAGTTAACCTCTTGCTGCTCTTGCAGACAATGTGAGTTTGGTTCCCAGCATTCACACAGGGGTGCTCACAGTGCCTGTAACTCCATGTTCAGGGGATGTGCCATAACCCATGCATACACTCACCCACACAGAGTCACACACACAGGAAAAGATATCTTTAAACAGTGTCGTACTTGTGTGTGTGTGTGTGTGTGTGTGTGTGTGTGTGCATGTACACGTGTGGACCATGCAGGCAGATAATTTTGAGCGAACAGTTGCAGCTGAAGATCAAAGTACAAGAGCCTTTTGAACAGGTTCACCAGCTCCTTGAGCAGAGGAAAATGTGTAGACACTATTCTGTGTAACACACGAGGAACTGGGCCTGATCCCACACTGCTGGCAGGAAGGAGGTTGCACAGGCAGCAGCCAGAAAGGATGCTAGAGAACAGAGATGGAGCAAGCCAGCAGAGGGGCAATGGAGGTCCGCGAGCAGGTGAAGCAGAAAAGGACCACCCACACACCGGAGGTCATTTTCTTCCCTGCTTTCTACTAGGACTTTGATTTTTAGATATCATTGCTTCTCAAACTCTTTTCCAAACTAATTTTTTCAATAGCTATCACATAATAAATGCATTATAATTTATTTAACAAGTATCATCTTTTTCAGTTTTTCCCAGTTTAGCTTTTATAAAGAACATTATGCATATTGACCACATACCCATTTTTGTTTAATTCTTCTCTTACACAATACATCCTGCCCACAGTTTCCCCTCCCTTCGCTCCTCCCAGCCCACCTCCCCCTTCCCTCTCTTCCAGACCCACTCCTCCTCCATTCCCCTTCAGAAAAGAGCAGGCCTCCTCGGGATATCAACCAAACATGGATATCGTAGTTAGGGTTTTATTGCTATAGTGAAGCACCATGACCAAAAATCAGGATGGGAAAGAAAGGGTTTATTTGTTTTATACTTCCAAATTGCTGTTCATCACTGAAGGAATTCAGGACAGCAACCCAAGCAGGGCAGGAACCTGGAGGTAGGAGCTGATGCAGAGGCCATGGAGGGGTGCTGCTTCCTGGCTTGCTTCCCATTCAAGCCACTTTGGACACCTAATGGGAAGAGTTCAGTGCTGTAAACTTTGTGTTAGTGGCTCCCCCTCCTGGAGATTAAGACAAAAGAAGAAAAGAATTGTTTAGTGAAAACCCCACTCCCTCCTGGAGATTAATTCAAAAGAAGAAAAGAACTGTTTGGTGCAAACTTCATTTTGTTAAGTAAAACATAAGCTTGAGGGGCTGCCAGGATTGTTGAATGTCATCATTTGTCAAAGGCTCAGATGGAAACAAAACTCTTGAAGCAAGAAGCTAGCTCGCCCTCTGGTGGTTATGGCTTAGTAGTGCTGTCTTTGTGTGTCAAGTTGACAAAGGGGTCATTTGTGCTGGCTTGCTAGACTTGTGTCAACTTGACACACATATTAAAGGTATCCGAAAGGGGGGAACCTTATTTGAGAAGATGCCTCCAAAAAATCCAGCTGTTGCCCATTTCTTAATTAGTCATTAATGGGAAAGAACCCAGCCCATTGCAGATGGTGCCATTTCTGGGCAGCAGTAGAAACTCTAAGATAAGTTGGTACCAGCATAGTGGGGTATTGCTGGGACACACCTGACCATGTTTGGGGTAGAATTTGGATCTTTGGGACTTTGGGCTAGGAGAACCATTGAGTGTTTAGAGTTCAGTGCTATGTTCTGTAGGAGTTTGGAAGATAAGATTGTTGAGAGCGGAGCAAAAGATGGGGCCTGGCTTCTGAGGTTTTAGAGGGAAACTTAAAGACTCTTATCAGGGCTGTTCACTATTTTGAATTAAGATTCTGTCATTCTGGTCAGCTAGGGCTGAAGTGTTAGCCACGATTAACAAGAGGCCAGCACTAGTAAAGTGAAAACTAAGCGTTACTGAAACAATTGATGCTGATTAACTGGAGCTAAGAAGTTAGCGGTGATTAAGAAGCATCACTGAGGTGAAATCTTTTAGGCAGTGTTTCCTGAGAGCATGGAGAATCTGTGTTTGAGAGGCAGCCACCATTGTACCTTGTGTTGGGAGCCGGACTTGGTGATGTATTAGAGTCACCCAGGTTGTACTGGTTTTGAAGACATGAAGGGGTCATGGAGAGCAACTGAGGCTTGGTGCTGGGAGAGCCTGGGAGAGGCTGGGAGAGGCCACCGGTGAAGATGCAGCCTCAGTCGCAGTTAAAGGCCCAGGACTGAAGGGGTGATGCAGAGAAGTTGAGGCTTGGTACCGCAAAGAGAGCCCAGGAGAGGCTGTTGGTGAAAGTGCAGCCTGGTTGCAGCAGAAGACCCCAGGGTTTTGGAGGTGCCAGTACCATGGGATGACCACCACAAACACCAGCAACAGTGGAGTGGAGCCAGGCAGAGCCTAGAAGACCAACTGTGTGCAGCAGAGGGCGGAGCCAGAGAAGTGACCCAAGCCCCTTGGAGGAGCCCAGAAAATTGTGAGTGAATCCCAGATATTGGGCATTGAGTTCTTTGTACCTTTAGAGTTTGGTTTTGCTTTGTTGAGATTGTGACTGTGCCCTGGTTCTTTCATCTTAGTTTAATTTTGATTTTTATAGGAGCTCACAGCTGAAAGACTGTGAACTTTTAAAAGAGGTTTTGGATTTTTAGAGATATTGGATATTTGAAAGAGACTCAAATTTTAATGTGCTTCAATTTGTAAAGACTGCAGGACTTTAAAGTTATGTTTTTAATGTGAGATCTTGGGAATGAATAAGAACAAGGGTTATGGCTTAGTAGTGAAGTGTTTGTGTGTCAAGTTGACAAAGGGGTTATTTGTGCTGGCAAATATTGTGTCAGCTTCACACACAAATTAGAGGTATTTGAAAGGAGGGAACCTTAATTGAGAAAATGCCCCCATAAAATCCAGCTGTTGGGCATTTTCTTAATTAGTTATTGATGGAGAAGAACTTGGCCCATTGTGGATAGAGTGGTCCACAATGGTGCTATAAGAAAGCAGGCTGAGTGCCAGAGCCCGCCAGCAGAGTCGAACTGTTCTTGAGTCGGGAGTGAGGATTAAAATCAACAAACCAACACACAACACATGGGACCTTTCCAAGAGGCTCTAGTGGAAACTAGACACCTTGCTTTATTGCAGATTCTTTTTAAGTCAGAGAAAAAGCACCTCAGCAGGATGAGTAAATTCACAAGGAAGTCAAACAGAGCTTTGATTTTGACAAGGTATCCCACCTGCTGTCTCAAACAAAAGGAGATAGACTTGAAAATTTATTACTGACTCCAGTCAAGGCCATGGTGAAAGCAGTCTTTCCTCTGAGATCTAAATATCAAAGCAAGCTGGTAGACCAGCAGCTCCCAACAGCTGAGCAATTTAAATAGCAATTTAAATAGACATATAACTCCTAGTGCAATAGAAGCAGTAATTGAGTTTTTCAAGTTAAAAAAAAAAAAAAAAGTTCAGGGCCAGATGGTTTTAGAACAGATTTCTGCCAGAGCTTCAAAGAAGAATTAACACAAATACTTCTCAAACTGTTCCACACTGTAGAAACAGAAGGATCACTGCCCAGTTCTGTTCATGAGGCCACAGTTACCCAATACCCAAACCACATAAAGATCTAACAAAGATAGTTGAAGACTAATTTCTCTTATGAACATAGATGCAAGAATTCTCAATGAGATATTTGCAAACCAAATACAAGAAAACACCACCATAAAAAAATTGTCATCCACCCTAATAAAGCAGACTTCATTCCTGAGTTGTAGAGATAACTCAACATATATAAATTTAAAAATTAAACCAAATAAACATCCTGAAAGACATAAACCACATGATCATTTCATTAGATGTAGGAAAGGCTTTTAATAAAATCCAACACCCTTTCATGATTTAAAAGAAAAAAAAAGCCCTAAAAAGATTAGGGATACAAATTACATACCTCAATATAATAATGGCAATTAACAGCAAGCCCATAGCCTACATCAACTTAAATGGAGGGACACTCAAAGTATTTTTTCCTAAATCAGAAACAAGACAAGCTTATGCACTCTCTCCACACATATTCAATATATAATACATTTAGTTTTAGATTGAGAAATAAGGCAAATGAAAAAGATCAAGGGGATATAAATCAGAAGGGAAGAAGTCAAAGTATCTTTTTTTGCAGTTGGTATGATAGTGTCTGCATAAATGACCCTGAATATTTAATCAAGAAACTCACATATCAGCTAAACACTTTCAGCAAAGTATCTGGATACAAAATTAGCTCACAAAAACCAGTAGCCTTCCTACATACAAGTGACAAATGGACGAAGAACAAAATCAAGGAAACAAAATCTTCCACAACAGACTCAAAATATATAAAATACCTTGGGGTAACTCTAACCCAGCAAGTGAAAGACTTGCATGATAAAAACTTGAAGATGCTGGAGAAAGAAACTGAGAAGATATCAGAATATGGAAAGACCTCCCATGCTCATGGATGGATAGGATTAATATAGTAAAAAGGACCGTCCTACCAAGAGCAGCCTATAGGTTCAGGCCATCCCAGCTAAAATACCAACACAGTTCTTCACTGAACTTGGAGGGACAATTTTTACCTTCGAGGTCCTTTGGGTACATAATATGGCTTCCAGTAGTGTGTATGTGAGTAAGTGAATAAATGAGTGTGTGTGTGTGTGTGTGTGTGTGTGTGTGTGTGTGTGTGCGCGCGCACGCGCGCGCGCGTGTGGGTAAGTGTGTTGTGGGATTCCTCTGTGAAATATTGTGTCTATTTGTGTTTCTTCTGGTTTTTATCTTGGTCTTTATTCTCTGTTATTTGTTTTGTCCCATTCCAATTTGTTTATTTTTGTTTTATCTTCTTTGATTTTATTCCATAGATGCCTGTTGACTTTCTAACAAGAGACAGAAAAGGATGTGGATCCAAATAGAAGGGGAAGATGGGAGGGACTGGGAGGAATTTCAGGAGGAGAAATAATAGTCAGAATATATTGTATGAAAAAAATCTATTTTCAATAATTTTGTAAATATCAGCTGACTCAGCAATTAATGTATTCACCTGATTCCAGAGCAGAGGAAATGGATTCAAACCCACCTCTTATAGAGATCCAAGAAGCAGGTCCATTTGTGTACTTTCCCACACTCAATACCAGCATCTCACCAATTCATCCCTGAGAAACCCTACCACACCCCACAGTGCCCTTCTACCACAGTCTCTAAACCTCTGAAAACAGGACTCACCATTTCAAATGTCCCCGAAGACATAAGCAGGCTAGAAAGGACTAAGAAAACAGCATCAAGTATGCCAAACTGATTTTCATGTCTCTGACACCCCTGTGAAAGCTATTTTCCCAATCCGGATTTCTCCCTGGAATAGGTTTTCTGTTTTACTAACGTTTTGCTATAGCTTAAAACTACTTGGGGTTGGAGAAATGGCTCAGCAGTCAAGAAAGAGCACTTGCTGTTCTTGCAGAGGACTTGAGTTTGGTTCCCAGCATCCACATGGCAGCTCACAGCCATCCATACCTCAAGTTGCAGAGGCCCTGATGCCATCTTCCAACCTCTGCGGGCACCAGGCTTGCATGTGATACACAGACATACATGTAGGCAAAACATCCAAACTTTTTTTAAAAAAATAAGAATTCTTTAAAACACTTATAAGAATGCAAGCGTAAAATGAAGATTACTGTGCCTGTGTACAGAATGCGGCTGATCATCCCTGGCATCACCAGGAAGAATAAGGGCAGCAGCTTCAGGTAGCCACACAGGATGCAGGCCGCCTTCACGTGAGACATGTTCTTGCCACACAAGCAGCGCTGTACAATGACCTGCCAGGAAAACACAGCAGAGTAGTGAGACAACCAGAAAATGATGTCCGAGCCGTCTTTCGGGGTTTAAAACTGCAATAAGAAACGATGGTGTTGGCGGAAACTAATAGGCTCTGGGGGAAGACTATGATTTGACCTGTTGTTTAGTTTGTATACTCTGTGGCCTCATTCCTCAAGCAGGGTTATCCCTTTCATAATAGTCTAAATATGACCAATGTATTAAGACTTCTGGTATAAGGAAGCAAATAGATAGTAGCTATAGTTAAAATATGTTTAAAAGCTGCTGGAGAGATAGGTCAGTGCATAAAGCACTTGCTGTGAAATCCCAAGGACCTAAGTTTGGGTCCATGAAACCCATGCCAACCTGGGCAGGGTGACTTGTGTCTATAATCCCAGCGCGCTCATGGCTAACAGAGGACAGAGATGGTAACATCTTGGAAACCTGCTGGCGTGGCACATGAAGCAGTGACCACGAGGTCCGGCCTCAAACAAGATGGAATGTGAGGTCTGACACCTGTGGTTGTCCTCTGACCTCTACGGGTGCACTGTGATGACAAGGATGACCCATTTCCACAAGAATGCACAGGGTATCCAGGCTGTAAAATAACAGTGGCATCTCTGTTAGTAATAACACTGCTGTATGTTGTGCTTTGAGCTGTGGGTTTAATACTGTGGGCGTCATCAGGACCTTCCTACTGTTAAAAGGTAATGCCTCTTTGACTAGTCACACCTGTTGCTATGGAAACACAATAGTCAGGGAGTGATTAGACCACTGAGACATTCATGGAGATTATTTTCAGAATGTTCTGAGAACACTTAACTGTGAATCATATTTAGGAATGATGTTCCTCAGAGAAGAATACATATAATTGTGAATTCCTACTCGTTAGGTGGAAGTTTCTGGTTTCTTTGGGAACTCAGTTGTGTCATGTGAATATGTTTTTTGGTTTTGGTCCCAAGTGTGGGATGTGGGAATGCCCATCCCCATGGAAAACAGCCCCATGAAAAGGCTCATGATGTTTGTCAGCTGAAAACTACCTTGTGAGAGGGAAGTGGGTTTTGAGAGCTGGGAAACATCCTTTGTGGACTCCGAGAAGGGATATATAAAAGCCCACAGACAGTGCGATAACACTGTTTGCATCTCTGTGTTTGATAAGAGTTTGCGTAGCTTTGCTAGTTTTGGCAGAGAGAAACAATCCAGACAACTTTTAGTGATGTTTGCAGCAGACTCATGCCATCTGGGCAGAATCTTGCCACTTTTGCTGTTGTTTGCTCATCTGCTGCTGCTGCTGCTGCTGCTGCTGCTGATGATGATGATGATGATGATGATGATGATGATGATGATGATGTGGTTTGTTGCTTTGCTGTTTGACTGGACTGCTGGTATCCTAATAAATGAGACTGGAATATCCCCAAAGAACCCAATGACCCTAATCAGCAAGAAGTAGCTAAAAGAGGTCTACAACCCCTTTCCCTACAAATCTCCTACCTAAGGTCAGGGTATGGGAAGGGAAGTAGAGGCGTTTAAGAACCTTAAATAAAATAGGTGTTTGAAAAACTCGAAGCCTACATACTTGAATTGGGCAAATCTTTTAATTATGTAGAAAAGCAGGATCTATGAAACAATTGCATAAAGTTTTGTATACTTCTTTTTTTCTACCCCATCCCCCTCCTTTTCAGTGCTGGGGTTTCAAATCCAAGAGCTTGTACATGCTAGGCAGGTGCTCTACTACTGACCTATATCTCCAGATCTTCATAGAATCATGACTTCTTGATATTTTTCTTCTAAAACATTTTCACAAAATAGGGATGCTTTCTTCTGTTGCCTTTAGTTAGGGTTTTTCTTGCTATGATAAAACAACACAAGCAAAAGCAATTTGGAGAGGAAACTATTTATTTCACCTTACAGTTTATAAGCTCATCACCAGGGAAGCCAAGATCTCATATTAATAGTAATAGCACAATACAAAAAATTAAAGCTTTTGGAATTTCCTCAGTCTTAAAATTTCAAACATCTTTAATGTTTGGTTTCTTAAAAATTTCAAAGTCTCTTTCTTTCTTCTATTTTTTTAATTGAAAATGGATTTTTTTTTTCATTTTTCGCTCCTCCAGCTCTTCCTAGATCCTCCCCTAAGTCTTCTTTAAAGTTGAAAGTCTCTCTAAAATATCCAAAGTCTCTGGACTATGGGATCTTGAAAATTTAAAAGTAAATATGTAGTTCTTATCAGAAGTGAGAATTGAAGTCACAATCAAACCAAAGCAAAACTAAGAGTCAGGAGTATAACCAGGTCAGTGTTTGATGCCTAGGACCCATTCCTCATTCTCTGAGCTCCAAATGGCTTTGGCAGCAGCTCCTCACTGGACCAGCCATTGGAAGCACATGTAGCCTGTCTGTCTTCTCGGCTCAGGCAGGTTCCATCCCACTCCTGCTTCTGCCCTTGATGATCATCTCATGGTCCTGGCATCTCCAGAATGCTGGCTTCTCCATTGCGATGGAGGTGCATTTTCACAGTGTTGGACTTTGATCTGACACTAATTACTGGCCCTCAAGATCTGGTTACTGACTGGATAAACCTATCCTTGTGTAAATCTGCCTAAGACATTATACCTGATTGGTTGACTAAAGACCTGTACCTGGGCAGGGCAGAATGGGGTAGGCATGCCTAATATTCCCAGGCTTTTGAGGACAGGAGATCACAGGAAAGAGACAGTTGGGAAGTGAGGAGGAAGGAGGTCACCAGGATGGGTTAGCATGGAGAAAGAACCACGTGGGCCAGGAGAAAGGACTCCAAGAACAGCATGAAAAGGCCCAGGTGAGGAATAAAAGCAAGTATTCATAAAGTTATGAATGAAAGGTAGCCCAGATAAAGATGGTGAAGACAGATGACATTGGTTGGGGACTGGGAGATGGATGGTGAGGTTATTGAGACAGCATAGGTAGAAATAACTTCCTGGCCCAAGCCAAGAAGAAAATTATAAAATCTAAGAGGTGTCCATGTTTTATTATTTGGGATAACAGGTCGAATAAGACTTCTACAATAACTATAGGGATAATAATAATAATAATAATAATAATAATAATAATAATAATAAACATTATATAATCCAATACTCATTTTTATTTACTACCACACACAAGTGTCATATCCTGGCCCCTGTTAGGGGACTCTTACTTTGCCACATCATACCAAGCTTCTACTTCTTCCCATGCCCCTCTGAATCCAGAGGCTTCTAATGTCACTCAGGCTGCACTTTTACCAATAGCTTCTCCTACACAGCAAGCTTCAGTGTCTCTCCACGATCCTTTCATGCCTTCAAAATCAGTGTTACTTGGAAAACTAGTACACGTTACTAAGTTTGGCTGCCAGAAAAAGGGACAGCCTTGATTGCCTTTGGAATACAGCTTCTGTGGGCTAACCCTAAAGAAAGACTTCCTGGAAGATTTCACCTCACTAACCCTGGTTGCTCCTTAATCACAGCTGATATTTCAGCCCCAGCTGACCAGCATCTATTGTCCTAATAAAGCAAAGTTTTCATTTCAATGGTTCTAAATTCAAAATATCTAATGCTGTGATGGAATCCTTAAGGGACTCTCAAACTTAGGAAACCTCATAAGGCAAGCCTCCATTGTCTGCCCTTCTCACCACATTTTTATCTTCTCAGCTCCGACAGACTAGTCCACAGAGCCTGAGCATTCAGTGTGTTTTCCAGCCCATGGTTCAAATACTAACACATTTCTCTCCAAAACACATGGTCAGGTCTGCACAGCAACACACCATGATGCGGTACCAATTTCTGTCTTAGTTTTAGGGTTTCTATTGCCATGATAAAGCACCATGACCAAAAGCAACTCGGGGAGGAAAGGTTTGTTTTATCTTATAGCTTTCAAGTCCATCACTGAAGGATTCCAGAGCAGGAGCTCGGGGCTCCTGGAAGCGGGAACTGAAGCAGAGGCCATGAAGGACTTCTGCTTACTGGCTTGCTCAGCCTGCTTTCTTTCTAAAACTGGACTGAACAAAGGTGGGGTGTGCAGACATTTCTTTCTCGGGAGGTCTAAGGTCATGTCTGTGCTTATGGTTCACAGACCGACCACTCTTTCTGTGCAGGAATGGTGATAAATAGCAAAACGCTTAGTTCCAGGAACCCACTGTGCTTGTTTCTGAGGGACATGATACAGGGCAGGGTGTGGTCCCAGGCAGCTGTTCCTCATAAGTCTTGTAGAAATGTTTGGCTTTGAAAATGATGTTTGTGTGTACAAACTAGAACCTAGTGCTTTTTTTAATGAGATGAAAAGGAGCAACATAAGTTCTCTCTCTCTCTCTCTCTCTCTCTCTCTCTCTCTCTCTCTCTCTCTCATGAACGCATGCGTACATGCACTCTTACTCACTTACCTGGTCTGTGCACCAGTACCACATGGCTGTAATAACCATTCCAAATGCGGTTCCTGGCCAGGGAATGTCTCCAGTGACCGCGTCTCTGAAAATATGGAAGGAGTCTGCCTGAGGAGTGTAGCACCTGGGGTTGATGGTCAGGTTGTCCCCCTCCACCACAGATGGAATGGCGTTCATGTACTTCTCTGTAAAATTTTCATAGCCTCCAACTTCAACAAATGCTGCAAAAGCATCAGAGAAATAAAATGTCTCCTGCGCACCGCAGACAGCTGCTGTTTCTGATTATCCCCTGAAGTGGAGTCCACGAAAACTTTCAGGGACCTTCTGTCTTGGTCCATGCCTTTCTGCTTTCTCCACTGGTAACAGGTCAAATTTCACAAAGCTTATAAAGCGAATAATTATTACACTTTTTATTATGATAGTATTCAACTTTTTTGATTATCTAGCACTGTGGTAAAAATTAAAAGTGCTAAGCAACAGGTCGATGTTGGTGCCTCACAACCATGCAGAGCAGAAACAAACCTGATGGTAGGTTTTGAGAGCAACTCCAGGGGAATTAGCCACCAGGAATCTCTACTCTTTTGAAAGGAGCAGGTAGCAATGGCCCTCCAACCAGTCTAGTTTTCTGGTGCCACACTACATTCAACTATGATATTAAAAAAAAAAAAACAATGGGAAGAGAAGAAGGGAAATCAGAAGCAGCAAGTTAGATGAGGAGGAGAAATGGTGAGAGAGAGAGACCGTCGTGGGTCTGGAATGGCTAGGCAGGAGTCAAGAATAGTTGATGTGAGAAAGATGAGCCAATATACCTGGGGATACTGAATATAAGTTCAGATGATGCAAAATTTATCAGAATAGTAAGGCCTGGAGAAACTATTCTTGCATCACATCATTAAGTTCAAAAAACAAAGACCAAGGAACAAGAAGAGAATAGAAATTTTGGATAACGGTACATAATGTACCCAGAGAACTGTTTCTAACACTTGTCTCCAGGAGAGCAGTGTGCAGTCGAAAACATTTGCCTTGCATGATGGGATTGTTTGAATTCCTGTTGTCCAAGATGGGTAGCCACTAGTATTGATGAGACATTTGAAATACAGCTGAACTGAATTTAATTTGATAGCCATATTGGAAAATGGAGTATCCAGATTGTGCTGAGGTCACCATACAAGTATGGATTTGTTGGGTTTGGGTTTTTTTTTTTTCCAGTTTTTGCTTCATGTGCTTCTAGCTATGTGAGCAGATAATGTTTATTGGTTGGAACCTGGTGACTTGAGGTCAGGGGAAAGACAATTGTTCTCATCTTGTCTTTTTTGCTACGTTCATGGATTAAGTAGTCTTTTTTGCTACATTCATGGCAAAGTATAGTTTTAAAGTAATCTATATAAGAAGGGTACAAATCATCCTGTTTATTAAACCATCTAAGAGTACATTGGGTCCTTTACTTGGCCTGCAGAAAAAGAATGGAACAGAACCTCAGAAAAGCTCTTGGCAGCCAAAAAAAAAACAAAAAACAAAAAGGCAAAAGGCTGCAATCACACATGCAAGCTGAGACTTTTTTGGTTTTGTTTTGTTGTTTGTTTGTTTGTTTGCTTGTTTGAAATGTATCTTTCCACATTAGGGAAGGAAAAGACCTCTTTAATCTATGAAACATCATACCAGGGGTCCTTTCTTGGGAGAAACCTTTAGACTACATAAAGATTCTCTCCCAGCATGGAAGGAGGAAACTCTTCCCTCTTTTTTGAAAGCTAGGAAATACCACTTATTTACATGCCAGATGAAGCTCCAGTGTGAAGAAAGTGGGGTCAGGGTAATCTGACCTTGCCTAAGCCACCTCAATGTAAAAGAAAGTTAAGATCAGCACACTGTTACTGCTGCCTGCCGTCAAGATAAAAGAATTAACTGATGATACAGTTGAGAGTCACCAGAAAAAAATCCAAGCCATGCTTGCACATTCTAACAATGTACTGAATAAAGTGTGGTTTTCTCTCATAATATACATCCCAGGGCAGTCTCCCCTCCCTTCATTCCTCCCAGTCTTCTCCTCCCATTTCTCCTCTGCCCCAGATTAAGTGCTCCTCTGTTTTCCTTCAGAAAAGAGCAGGCTTTCCAGGGATATCAACTGAACACAGCATAATAAGATGCAATAAGACTAGGTACGAACCTTCATATCAACTCAGAGGAAAGAAAAGGTTTCCAAGAGCAGGCAAAAGAGTCAGACACACACCCCCCTTTTAATAGACTGTTATATAAAATACATACAATTAGCCAATAGTTATCTGAAATTTTTCAATGCCTAATTCTCTATTTAGTGAAAGTTCTAGCTAAATCAAAAGGTTTATTTGAGTAATTTTTTATTGTTTTGAAATTGAAACATCATTTCCCCTCTTCTCTTTTTTTTTTCCTCTCCAGTTCTTTTCCTGTACCCGTCGCTGCTCTTTCTCAAATTCATAGCTTCTAGGTCACAAAGTGAGCCCCAAAATGGCAGCGCTGACAATGTCCTAAGATGACATTGGGCCCAAACCAATCTGGTTCTTACTGGACAAACATAAGGATTCCTACCAAATAAACAGAAACTCATCATTCCCCACCAAACTTTATAATTCAGGTTTCTATTTGTCAGGAAAGCCACTACTTCCCTCCTACGCTCCTAACAGTCAGCTGACGGGGGCAAAGTGCATATAATTCTCTATTATCTAGGAGAGACCGCACAAGCTCAATCCTACCATATAAAACCCACTTGCCTTCCTGCCGAACTGCTGCCCTTGATTCCTGTGAGATAGCCTGGCAGTTTGTTCTCTGCTGGGGTGATTGTTTTGTGCACTGTGTCTTTGTATTATTCGACTGTTAATTCTGTACCGGCAGATAGCTGGGTACTGTCTGGATTTTGGTATTCTTATGGCAGCATCACATTTTGTAAACACTCCCTCTCTTATTTTTTGATTGGCTAAATCTTAGGGCCAAAGATAAGCAGGAGAGGATATGCAGGAGTCCCAGGCAGAGATAACAACTGTGGGAAAAATTAAGAGGCATGGGATTTGCCGGAGAGACAAGGAAGGAACATTGCCGTGACTGAAAGAGTAAGAGGTAAAGGGCCACGTGGCAGATGTAGACTAGTATAAACGAGTTACTTTAATCATATGAGCTAGTTGTGAATAAGCCTAAGTTTATAATGATCATAGTCTCCGTGTCATTTTCGGGAGCTGGTGGGTCTGAGACAGTCAGGCGATTGTTCTCCAATAAACTGGTTTTCTATCCATAGAGCAGTTTAGTTCAGGAGTTTTTCTGCACTCACTTACAATGGCCTCTTTTACTTTAATAGTTGTTACTCTACTAATAAAATACAACATATATCAAAGGTTTTTGTGCTTCTAATCCAATGCCCAATACTTCTCTAAAGTTATTAACCAAGGGCTTTCATCCATTCTGAGCATGCAAAAAAAAAAAGGGGGGGTTAAATAAAATAGTTAACTTAAGCAATAACTTAAAAGGAAATAAAACTCTCCCTCATTTCCTTTTTTTGATATAGTAAAGCAAGAAATAAGGTAGGCAAATATTTCCATGATGGTAATTATATAAATCACAGGAAAATATGCCCCAGGAAAATTTGAAGGAAGCAATAATGAGCAGATAGACAGAAACAAGAATCTAGGGATCTGTGCACACAGTCCTGGCTTATCAAATACCATGAGAATGAAAGATCCAATGAGCATAATGATGGCCTGGAGGATGTCTGTGTAAATCACAGATGCCAAGCCCCCTGTGGAGATAAAGAAAACACTAGAGTTTTACTCACATGTGCTGATGTGTTTGCCCTCATAGCTGGCTTCTCCTCCAGCCCAAATGCATAAAAAAACAAAACCAAAAACATTTTTTTCTTTAAATGCAGGAAGTGAGCTTATTATTCCAGCTACCTGAGACGTTGAAAAAACGGATTGTAAGCCTCAAGGTCATCTTAGGCCCAGAGTGAGTTCAAGGACAGACAAGGTAACTTCGATTTTATAATCAAAAACAAATCAAGAAAATGAAAAAGCTCCTGGCTGAGTCACAGTCTTGACTTTCAGTTTTGTGTTGTTTGGGACAGGGTCTTATTCTTCAGCTAAGGTCAGCCTGCAATCTCTGTGTTGGCCATGCTGGTCTTGAGCTCATGGCAATCATTCTGCCTCAGTTTCCAATTCCTGGGATAAGAAGTGTGAGCCACCATAAATAAGCCATTTCGCACCGTTATATTCCTAGTTCTCGTGTCTTTTGTTAGTGCTACTGTTGAGAGCCATGTGAGAGAAACAACAGTTTTAGAACTCATGGAATGCAGCCCACCAGTTAGCACAACGGTGACTGGTGTACGTGTTCTAGGACTTCATGCTAGTGCGAAGTCTCACTCTGCTTGTTGCCCTCAAAGTCATTACATCCCTCCTAATCCATGAGTTGTGTGAAAGCTCTAAGAGGGTTTCCAGCCGCTCCCTGGGCAGTGGCCGTGTCACTGGCACTTGCAATATCAGTGACTGACCTTTTCCAAGCATTTCCGATGGAACAGATTAATGATTCAACTACCCCATTAGAAAGGCTTTAGAGATGTAGATTGTTAGTAAAGTTAGTTTAAGATGTTCTGTTAGAGGCTTTGACATAGAAAACCTTAGGGAGTGATTTTGAAGTTCAGAAAGGCACTCCCTTGATATCTGAGCAAGGGAACAAGATAATTGAAGTCAGGGAACAAGAACGATGGCAGCCCCACTAGTAGTAGCTGGTGTGCCTCTCTTACTAAAGCTGAGCTGATGGTCAAGATGATGATTAATTTCTTATATCCATTTTTGCCCTCCTGATTTGCTTCCTGATATAAATTAATAAAAACATTAATGAATAGGTGTGCACTCTGAGGATTTAAAGTAGGAATGATGGTGATATATATATATAATATAATATATATATATATATATATAAATATATATATATATCACCATCATATATATTATATTATATATATAATATATATATTATATATATTATATATTATATATTATATAT